CCCCAAAACCCCAAAACCCCAAAACCCCAAAACCCCAAAACCCCATAACAAAGAAAAATTATTGAAACTTTAATAAAAATGTTCCGGTCACATTGTCAAAGCCTCAAGAGAAGTATTGAAGACTATGAGCACAAATTCGAAGTCGCTCAACAAGTCAGGCTTGAGAGTAAGCAAAATCTCCAGCTGGTAAATAAGCAGAGGATGGAACTACTAAATGAGAACAGATATAAAAGCTCTCTCAATAGAAGAAGGTATTTTAAATCCTTATTATACATTACGAATAAATTCTACAATTATTATTCCTTTCCTCACCAAAACTCATAATACTTATTCCGCAGTATTTAATTACTAAAGGAACGAAATTAAGGAAGTACTGAAAGAGGCAATCCGGGTGAACATTTTAGCAAAGGTAGGCTTTTTATATTCAAAACTAAACTTAATATAGAAACGGACGCAAGAGGCTAGGGAGAAACATAAGCTTGCCCTGAAGAAGGAAAGAGGTATGCCTATTTATCACTTTATTAGACTACCTTTTGGGTTTCTCATTTTGAATATGATTTATAGAAAAGAAAATCCGTCTTAAGATAGCTGAACAGCAAAAAGACTATCATCGTCTCAAAGATGAAGCTAAATAAGAAGCGACTTCAGAAGTTACTTAGGACTGATACGAACGATATTGAAGAGCTAGAAAAGATGTTACAGGACACTAAGAATATGCAATATGATAAAATGATAGAAAATCAGCAGCTTTTTGAGAAAAATGCACCCAGTGTTTCATTAACGCCCAAATTAGGGTTCAATAAGGGTAATAAACAAATTACTACAGATGTCAGCTTTGATAAGGATGGTATTCTTCGCTATCCTTATAATGCTGATTTAAAAATACTCAATAATGGATTAGGAGAAGAGTATAACGATCGCCATCAGCAGAACTTAAATTATCTATATGGGACCAAGGCTTTTGATGCTATTCAAAAGTTAAGCAAAGAACAGATTAAAGAATATCTTCCCCTCACTACTCTTGATGTAGATGAAGAAAACGACCCGGAATGGCTTCGTGATTACAAGAGATTTTTGAAGACAAATAAAATTAATATGGACACAAAAATTACTACTTTGAAAGAAGACTACGATCTTACAAAAGATCTGGAAGAATCCAAGAATTCAAAGTGGTATTCCAAGCAGAAGTATCGGCTTGTGAGGCAGCTGAGGAAGCATCAGGAAAGCAAATCTAATAATTCTGACAAGAAAGAGCTGAAGCTACCACCAAGCAAGCCCCCTGTTCAGATTCGTAACGTTAGAGATAGTATTGGTCCTCTTAAAACTGAGAACAATAAAGAAAATAGTAATTACTTTGATATGGAGCCTCCCAAAATTATGAAAACTATTGATACAGCCGTTGAAACAGATCCTGATATCCTAAACCTTCTTGTGGAGATGAAGAACGACCAGGTATCCAACACGAATCAGGTTGTCTCAAGACCTCGTGCTAGGTCCAAGCTGAATGAAGTCCCAAATACTTATAATAACAATTACAGAAGTCCCAACATTCAAGAAGAGGATGAGGACGGACTCACTCAGGTTAGTCTCAAGGGGAGTAAGAAGAGTGTTGCCACAGAGAAATATAAGAGCAATTCATTTGAAAGAGTCTCAAGAAATAAGTAAATTAATAATCTTATTCGTAGGAAAAATAAATTCTTTAATAAACTCAATTATTATGGCAATGCAGGTTTGAACTATCGAAATGACCTTTCATTGCCTAAGTCTTCAACGAGGTATGGCAATAATATTTCCAAACCAAAAGAGAATAGTAAACTCAGGGAGAAAATTAGGGTGAACGACCGCCTGCATATTTTGGATAGGATGTCAAGCTCCATGCATACTGATGATAATAAATCCACTAAAGATTTTAGCGATGCTCAGTCAATTAAGTATAAAAAGATGCCAAGGTTGTATAATCCTTATGAGATCACCACTGGTACAAGACAGCAAAAGATGGTGAATATTTCAATGGGGCCCAAAATCACTACAAAATTAATGAGTGATAATAAGAAAAGAAGCAGGATGTATGAAGATCAGAGCATTTTCAATCTAAACAGGTCTTCACACGAAGTTAGTGATGGTGAAATGAGTGATGATTTCAAGCAATATAATCTTGATTACTCATCCCCCAATATTTCACCTCTATCAGTCCAGGATTGAGTAAAACAAAATAAGCAGCGTGTCAAGGCTGACATTTCAAAGAAACTAAAGAAGATCAATAAGAAGTTAGATTCCAAGTTCAAGCTCTCTCTGATAGACATTGAGCAGCTGCAGACTAATTGAAATCTAAAATTAGGTGATTGGGACAGAGAAATCAATGAAAAACTCCTTGTAAGGATCATGAAGGAGGAAAGAAGGAAGGAATACTGGAAACGAAGGATAAAAGTATCCAATCCGGCCCAAAATAAGTCCCAGATGCACTAACCTGATCCAATTTTCACTTTAAAGTAACTCATGCCAAGTATCCAATGTCCAATAGCTTTTAAGGGGTTTTGGGGTTTTGGGGTTTTGGGGTTTTGGGGTTTTGGGGTTTTGGGGTTTTTGGGGTTTTGGGG